CATCACATTTACATGATGTGTCAAAGAATGCCTTGCACCACAGCTCTGGTGGGATTGATTTTAAGGCATCATGACCTTCCACGGATAAATTTCTGATCTCCTCCATGTTTTTGTTGAATTGACCTTCATATGTTGACCTTGCAGCAATCCATAATCTTTTCTTCAATAGTTTCCCTCTGAAAATTTTTTGCCAATTGGCATATAAATGCCTGGCACACAATCTATGCCTAGCCTCGGGGAAAACTGTTTGTCTTGCATTAATCAACCCCTACCAAATTGTGTTTAATGAAAACAAATAAGGTTAATGATTGATAATAAAGGCAATTGAATTATACAATAAATAGCATTGATGAGTATAGTAACATAAAGATATTGATAATATAAATTAATTCATAATAGATTGTGCGCACTTACAGGATGTTGGTCCGAAATGAACGTTAAATCTCGCCCAGTGTGATTTGATAGATCATCAGCTAGACATCTAAAAAAAAACATCCATGAGCTGGTAGACTCTGAGTCAACAACAGCCCAAGCTATTGGGAACATTTGATTGTTCCCATCCCTTGCAACAGCTGCCAAAATAGTTCCTTTGAACATCCCCTTGAGGAAACAGGCATCTACTCCAATTACTGGTCTACAGCCCAGTAGAAAACCCTTCCTACATCCTTCTAGACACACATAGATTCCTTTAAACATAGGTTTTCCCTCTGGAGTTGTGGGTGGCTCACTGTCAATTTGAACATTTGATTGAGGGGACAATCTCAACAACTCTTCTGCATACCCTCTTAACTGAGCAAATTCCTTCATGTGAGTTTCCTTCACCTCCTTCATAATCCTTTCCTTTACTAGTTTACACTTATTCCTTGAAACATGAACTCCTAATTCTAAATGAGACAATCTCACTATCTCACTGATTCTGATCTGCGGATTTGCTATAATTCTGTTCCTATGGTGTTCTACAAGTACCCTCGACCCAACCATATTGGACTTCAAACTCCTAAAGCAAGTGTGTTCCCTGCAATATGTCTTCACCTTAAAAGTCTTGTCATTTTTATCAAAACTGGCAAAGATACTCCAATTGCACTATTGACCAACACAGTGAATTCTCTGTCTGGTGGGGTCACTTTTAACAGGTTTCAACTTACAGCCTTTTTGAATTTGGTATTTAGCTATAGCCTCCTTAAACTGTGCTACATGCTCAAACCTCATCCCTACCTCAAACCAAACAGTAGTCCATGAAGGATTAAACTATAAATCACTACTTCTAGTACTTCTTACATCTTCTTCTTCTTCTTCTTCAAGTTCATGTTCATCTGCAACATTGTACTCACCTAATCATCACTAGAAACCTCAAATTCATCTTCACTATTTTCAAAGCTAGAATCAGAACCCAAATCTCCATGGTCATTAGTTCCTATAGGAATCCTTTCACCCTCTTCATTAATTGTGGTAGGGGAGTCATGGACTGTGCCGCTTGGTCCAGCACCATCTGCATTTTTTCTTGCACTTGCACTTGCACTGGCTTTATGTTTCTTTTTATTGCGAATAGATTCAAGCACCTCCTCATCATCTGCATCACTAGGCACAATATCAAGCAAATCCTCATCATCATGATCATTGTTCTATAGATCTTCTTGTTGGGCTGCATCACCTTCAGTTGCTGTTTCTGGAGCTTCATGAAAATTTGGGGCTGGTTGTGAATTTTGTGTCACATAACCTTCCCCACTATCCTCATCATCTGCATCATCATGCACAATATCAGGCAACTCCTCATCATCATGATCATTGTTCTGTAGATCTTCTTGTTGGGCTGCATCACCTCCATGTAGTGCATCTGTTTCATCAGCATCACCTTCAGCTGCT